CTGTCTCAGAATTTTGTACCAATTTCCCTAATCAAGATTTTAATGAGAAGCTTATTATGCTATTTTCAAATGAAAATGACTCAATCTTAAGAATGCTGAGTCAATTCATATAAAACACTGTATATGACGTTTTAAACAATTTTATATTTAGCTGTTACATTTTGTAAATATACATGTAATTGTGTTTATTTTGCTTATCTACATTAGACATGAGGAGAAATGCAACTTCTATTCATGTTATGTATTTGACTAGAATCATGCATTTCCTAGAGCACCGTCCCTTGATGTCTTCTGTAGATTGGCAACCATTAATACATCCTTATCTTATAATTTATTTACATTAATACACCAACATGGCAACATTTGTTTAATATTTGCATATTTATTTATATTTTCTCGATTTTTTGTGACACATGCATCATTAAATTGCTGATCTACATTAGTGATGAGGAGGAATGCTGTCCAGACAGTTGCACTGCTGAGACATATCCTAGAACACTGTCCCTTGATATCTTTCGTAGTTTAGGGACTCAATTGTAATACCATATATAGCTGGTGTAAGGGAGATAATTAAAATTGCTCATCACCTCTGTATTGCTAGACTCAACATTATTTTTATGTTTTGTATTGCTGTATGTTTGTGTTTTCTTGTCCTCTTGAGTGTTTAAAAATTATGCTTGTATCTATGTTATGTCCGCAGTCGGACCATGATTGGCAAATAAAATCTATTCTATTCTATTCTGCTAGTGCTTCTGTACATTTATATAACCTCTCATACTGGCCTCCTTTTGTCTTTCACGAACATTTAATAAGATAAGCTGTTTTTGTCTCAATTTGATTTATCTACATGTATTTTTTTACAAATCGACCTGATCATTAAAACAATGAAGGTGCTTTTTTTATCATACAATAAAAATTCTTCCATAATCTCTTATTCTATTACCTTTCAAATACATTATTTATAGTGATTAATTCGGGCCCCGCTCTGCGGGCGCCCTATAGTGATAAGTCTGTCCTTCCGTCCATCTGTCCGTCTGAGATCTCTTGTCCGGAGCATATCTCAGTGAATGCCACTGGTCAATGGATGTGCAGTGACCTTGAAAGAATTCTTGTCCGGAGCCTATCTTCTCTCTCCTTGGCCCAATCTGGCTCATACTTCACCCACAGAGTGTCTTTGGGTAAAGAGTGTGCAGTGACCTTGAACCATGTTTCTAGGTCTAAGGTTAAGGTCAAAGCAGAATTATATGAAAAGTCCTTGTCTGGAGCATATCTTCTCTCCTCTTGGTCCAATGTGGCTCATACTTCACTCACAGAGTGCCACTAGTCAATGGATATACAGTGATCTTGAACGAAATTTCCAGGTCAAGGGTCAAGGTCAAAAATAGCCTCTCTGTTTAAAATCTTTGTTCGGTGTATAATTTTTTTCCCTTAAGTCCAGTCAGCCTCAAACTATACCAGTTGACTTAGAGTACAGAACATTCGTGATTTTCCTTCCATATTTTGATTAGAGGATATGCAGCAATTTTCATAGAGGATATGCAACATTCGTGATTTTTGTGCCGTTTTTTGATAGAGGGTATGGAGCACTTGTGATTTTTGTGCCATTTTTTATTATAACAAGCATGACATAGAAGTCCTTTAGACTCAAACAACACATCCCTTAATAGTACAAAAATGTTCCTCTTCAAAATACATACTTTTCAGCTACCTTACATTTTCATGTTCGCTGCTGAAAGCGGGGCCCTTTGAGATGGCCACCATCTCAATGATATCTAGATATCAAAAGTGAATGGCAAAAGGGAATATCTTCTTTCAGTAGAATATAAATTAATAGAGCCCTAGCCAGCACCAGAAAACTTGCCAAATAGTCCAGATGTTCAAAAATCTGGTAAAAATACTGTTGCTTATTAGAGCAGAGATGATTTTCAAAGAAATACTTCATTTTTGCTACATTCAACACAGCCTTACCTTAACACCAGAACCCATGACCCAGGGTCATGAACTTCACAAATTTGGAAGACGCACCCTTGCTCAACAAAACTAATATGTATTTAGTTAGTTTGTTTAATACCCAGGAGCAGAGAAGATTTTCAAAGAATTAATGTATTTTCACTACATAATCAATAGACTCCAGCTATAATGTCAGAACTCCTGACCCAGGGGCCATGAAATTCACAATATTGGAAGAGGCACCCTTGCTCATCACAAACTATGTATTTAGTTAATTGTTTAATACCCGGGAGAAGAGAAGAAGATTTTCAAAGAAATAATGCACTTTTATTGTATGGTCTATAGAGCCCCGCCCTAGCTTCAAAACCCCTGACCCTTGGGCCATGAATTTCGCAAATTTGGTAGACAATGCTTTTAAATTAATTTGATGGTAAATGGTTGGTCAGTAATTATGTTTTCTTCTAAAGCTTAATACTGAATTACATGATCTTCTATCCTTTAAGCTTACCTAAGCCGAAGGCTCAAATGAGCTTCTCTGATCAAAATTTGTCCGTTGTCTGTCGTTAACTATATATATCAAACTTAACAAGAGTATCCTTGGGTAAAGGGGATTCAAGATAGTTTTAATGAAGGGCCACATCCTCTTCCAAGGGGAGATAATTAAGAAATAATAAATATTTAAAAAAATGTTTATTCAAATCATGATCCTCGAGCCGGGGGTATGATGGGGCCTTTATGGGCAAACAAAGCTTTACTTTGGTATATATATAGGAAAAAATCTTCAAAAATCTTCTTCTCAAGAACAGAGCAAAGCCACTATCATTCACATTTATATGGAAGAATCCTTAGGTACTATAGATTCAAGTTTATCAAAATCATAACCCCCAGGTGTAGGGTTGGGCCACAATGGACAATGAAAGTTTTACACAGGAAAACATAAGACAAATCTTTAAAAATCTTCTTCAGTCTCAAGAACAGCAAAGCCATGATTAGGCATATTAATATCAAAGCATCCTCGGGTAATGTAAATTAAAGTTTGTTCAAATCATGACCACTGAGGTAGGATGGACTACAATAGACCATCAAAGTTTTACATAGTAAAAATCTTTAAAATCTTCTTTTCAAGAACAGCAAAGTCATGATCAGTCATATTCATATGGAAGCATCCTCAGGTAGTAAATATGTTTTTCGCATCGAAAATTTCTAAGTCCAAATAACACTATTTAGGTTATAAAATTTTTATTTTTTAAGTTACAATTAATCTGATTACATATTCTTTTTTGTCTTTATGAGACGAAGAAAATGAAATAAAGCATTTAGTTGTAGGTCAATCAATAATATTGTCTCAATGAGACAAAGAAAATGATATAAAAAACTTTTACCTAGCTCTATAAATAAAAAAAATACCCTTATGAGTATGTTTTTCACACACGTCGAAAATTTCGAAGTCCAAAATTACAATAAATAAGCTCATTCAATTTTTATTTTTTAAGTTACAATAAATCTGATTAAATATAATTCTTTGTCTCAATGAGAAGAAGAAAATGACATAAAGAACATTGCACTACCTTAAAAAATAAAAGTTTTATAGCCAAAATACCTGTATTTTTCACTCGGCATACGAAAATCCCGGACTTTCATACCCGACTTCTGGACGAACTGGACGTCCTATCGGGAAAAAAAAATTATGTATCTGTAATCTACTCGTCAATACAAATCTAATGACACCTCACACATTACGAAATAACGACTTTGAAAATTCCCGGATTTTCACTCCGTCCGGAGGGGTGGGGCCAGGGTTTCTGAAAGTACCCCAAAATGTTCCCCTGGAGTACTACTGCCCCACACCCCGAGTTGGGACCTGGGACCCCCCTAACCCGGTCAAAATAGGCGGTGGGTACTCAGTACCCACCTTTGAAAAAAGTGGGTACTGAGTGCCCACTTTTGGTGGGCACTCAGTACCCACTTCGGCTAAGGGTCAAGCAGTTAGGCCTGCAAACTCTTTTCTTTAACTGAATATGTCTTTATCACACATTACAAAGTAGGTGAAATATGCGGTGTTTCAGAAATATCACCAGATTTAACAATCCCTTGCTTATACATGACTTAAATAGGCTTTCTGTTTTCAATGGCAATAATTTTAAACATCAGCAGACAACAGGAAGTATATCTTGCAAAATCATCAAAAAAAAAAAAAAGTTCAGAAAAATAAGCTTAAAGATATGAAAAAACTGCATTAATGTTAGGAATGAACCTTTTAATAAAAAAAAATTAGACGTGATTACATGTATTTTTCCCACAGTAAAAAGAAAACAACAGAAAAGTAAGTAATTATTTAAGAAAGAATTATATAATATTTTACTGAGTTTGAAAGAAACAAACTGAAAACAATACTGGCAAGTGCTCAATTCTTTTAAAAGATGTAATAGCTGTAATGATGCAGCAGATACTGTATGTTAGTTAACACAAACAAAGTTATGAATTGTAAGACTCCAAGTATGTGTTAAAAAAACACAAAGATTCTTTAAACAAGAAGCCCATGGGCCACAAGCTCACCTGAATAACAATGGCCCATCTTGTTCTTCATCAGCAGATTGTTCTTCCTATATATTCCTGTGTAAAACTTTGATTGCCCATTGTAACCATTGTTGTCATTTCCATTAATGACCCATATGCACTTATTCCCATAGGAACTTAGTGCTTTACAAACAAATTTATTTCTAAGTGGTGTTTGGACCTACTTCTAGTTTTTCACATATGCTTACTAAGCATAAAAGATTAGAACATTTTATGCTTAGTAATAAGCACTTTGTACTTAGTAATAAGTACAAGTCAATGTACAAATTTCATTTGTACGCTTATGTAACAGATAAACCATACCAAACCAGTTTACCTAGTATTGAATAAAACTTTAAAAGTTTTTTCGTCGAGGGTCTATTCGGCTACATTTCATCTGATTTTAATATCAGTCGTCATTGTGTGTGCGTGAGGGTGTGCGTGTGTAACACAAATACTTACCAAAACTTAAGGGTTATCTACTCTAAAAACAGGCTTTGATCCATCGACTGGAAAATATTGTTACTCCTGTCCACAACATGCACAAGCTGACAAATGCGATCACATAAACTTTTGCTACAAAGATCAGGTAAAATATGCAGTGCTTCTATCGTTCTATGTATAGAGAGAGAGAGAGAGATTTAAATGCAAATTTTGATGATATGAATTTACACCTGAATGCAGCCCCTATAATTTTTATTAGGACTGCTACATTGGAGAAACAACTTTTGTCTCGGACAGTTTCTATGAATCTCGATGCCAAAGTAAACCAGTAAGTATCCTTTAAATCAATCAAAATAATCTTTGTACAAATGCAATACTTTGTTCAGCTTACAAATCTATTTTTATAAGAGGCACAGATACCATGTAATTCATTGAATGACACATTAAATGTCATTAATAATCAAAATATACAATGTCAATATTGCTCATGTAGAATGAAAACAAAAAGATGGCGTCTAAGTAAAGTATTTTTTATGGGAGAAACTCTGTTTTAAAAGGTTTATATCGAGTTAATTTGAATTTAATGTGGTGATTCCTCAACAAACAATAATCTAATGCAAAAAAGAAGGGTATGCATTAAATGTGAAATTATCTCTCTCACTCTTAATATGAAAAAAGGTGCTTTTACCACAAAAAATAGTTTTATCTTGAAGTGAAAGTAAAAATATTTTGGAAATTGACAGAGTGAAATCAGAGGCATAAATAACTGAGACTCGCAACTCCGCCATTTACATGTTAATTTTATTTACTAAAATATGTGATGGTCCTTGCAATTTCTCTTTATCTTTATTATACCCGCACATTCTGAAGAAAGTTCGGGTATATTGTTGTTACCCTGGTCCGTCCGTCCGTCTGTCACACTTTCTTCTTAATCTAACTACTTCCTACATTTTAGGCAGAATTCAATTAATCTTTTGGAATATGATAGGTGGTGTCCTATAGAGGTGCAATAAGGTTTTGGAATTTTCAATTTAACCCTTGTGAGCAAAACGGGGGTCGAAAAATGACGGGGTTTTTTTTAATACAAAAAAAAACCTGTTTTCCAAAAGTCCTCTTACATTTTATGCAGTAGCTTAATCATCTTTTGGAATATGATTGGTGCTGTCCTGTAGATGTGCAATAAGGTTTCGGAATTTTCATTGTCACCCTGGGGGTCGAAAAATGACGTTTTTTTAATACAAAAAAGACCCTGGTTCCCAGAACTCCTCATATATTTTATTCAGTAGACTAATCATCTTTTGGAAGGTGATTGGTACTGTCCTGTAGATGTGCAATAAGGTTTCGGAATTTTCATTTTCACCCTTGGGGTCAAATGAGGGTCGAAAAATGACGTTTTTTAATACAAAAAGGCCCTGGTTCCTAGAACTCATTTTTTATTTTATGCAGAAGCCTATTCATCTTTTGAGAGATGATTGGTGGTGTCCTGTAGAGGTGCAATAAGATTTCGGAATTTTCATTTTCACCCTGGTGGGCAAATGGGGAGGAACATTGACGTTTAAAGTTTTGATGTCAGAGATTTCATGAGTTATTGTCTTGTTGTCTTTTTCTTAATTTGACCTTGAATGAAGAAAGGGTCAACGTAAAAAAAATGATGCAGCAAGTCTTGTGTCGTCTTCTATCCATGTTCCAAATTTGAATTTATAATGTCAAAGGGTTCTTGGATTATAATCCCTTGAATTATATTTTCACGTAATAGATTGACCTTGACTTTATAAATGAGTCAAGGTAAAAAACATTGTTTGCATGCACCCTTTCTCCATACCACTCCTCCATGTTTAAAGATTGAAGTTTTAAATTTTAATGTCAAAGGGTTCTTAAATTATGGTTTGGAGGTGTTTTTCTCAATTTGACCTTGAATGAAGAAAGGAGTCAAGGTCAAAATGTTGGTGCAGAGCATCTTGTGCAAATGTCTTGTTTCTATGTTACATGTACAAGTTTAAAACCCTAATGTCAAAGGGTTCTCAAGTTATAGCCTGGACTTATTTTAAAGATTGACCTTGACCTTATCAAAAAAGTTTGGAGGCATCAACCCCACTTCCTCTCCATGTTCCAAGTTTGAAGTCTTAATGTCAAAGGGTTGTCAAGTTACGGCTCGGACAAAATTTGATTGAAGAAGAAAACTGACAAAAACAATATGTAGACTAGTATAGTCTACTTCTTGCATCAAAACTGTAGGAGAAGTAGAGTTTTGAAAGAACAAATTTGTTTATATACTATCTAATGAAACTTTCACTTAAGATTCAACTTTTCTTTCCCAGTGGTTCTTGAGAAGAAGATTTTTTTTCTATACAGTAAAGTATGCTTATATCGAAACACGCTTATAATGAATTGACACTTACAGCGAAACAATTTTCATTCCCCATGACTTTAAAATATATTGTAAACTTAATGGATATAAGCACTTACACTAACAAAGCAGAATCGTCCGTCCAAGACACTTAGTTATAAGCGTATTTTACTGTACATTCCCATGTTTACAAAACTTTGATCCCCTATTGTGACCCCACCCTACCCCTGAAGGTCATGATTTGGACGAAGTTGAATCTACACTAAGTAATGAAGTTTCACAATTTTAACTTTTCTGGCCCAACGGTTCTTGAAAAGAAGATTTTTGAAATACCATTAAATTTTTACTCATTCTTATCTCCCCTTAAAAGAAGGTTTGACCCTTCATTTGAACAATTGTTTTACACAAGAAAGAATATTTTACATGAGAAATAAAACTCCTTGTGTTTCTAAATATGTCATCACACCTCTAGTGTGTTTCTTGTTATGTTAACTAAGACAATGATGATTCAATCCTGACTGTTCAATTTTGTACAAGCCTATGCATGATAATTATACCATGAAGGATATGTTTACCTGTCTTCAACAAGACATGTGACTGTTCACAGTAAGTACTTTTCAAGCATAATTGAGTTCATTTCTGCCTGCTGAAAATACTGATCTAGAGCAAATTAATAGAAGTTTCATGTGAAATTTGTAACAAACCATGATAAAAGACTTCTGACTTTGTCCTTTAGTAATTATAGTTATAGATCAAAGACAAGATAGTGAGTAAACATTTTTAATTTTTTTTACATTTCTGGGAGGGATATCATTCTTGCTGCAGTATGAATTAGTGTAAAATCCTAAAAATTCATCAATTAAAAAAATGTCTTAGAATTCCATTTAAATTTTGAATCAAGTAGATGTTAGAGAGAAAGAGGAGAGAGAGATTACCCCAAACCCCCTGCAAAACTTTATATATTTCTGATAGCAAATTCATAGAAAACACAATATTTGAAAAGCATTTTTTTTTTCATAGATTGTTTTCAGTTTTATACCAAAACAAGTTATAAATAATTTGTAGACATAAACGAGCCGGGGGCTGGAAAGGGGGAAAAGGGGAAGGGGTTATATCTGCATGATCTTAAATGTTGAAAACTCCAAAAAATTTGTGAATATTAACCGGCTGTTTCCCATTTGTCATCATTATTTACTGATCTTCTCACAACATACATGTGTCTTTATTAAATCAATAGATCATGGACCTATTGCTCATATTCCTAGCTCTCCCTTGAATCAGGAATGGTAATATAAATTTTAAGAATAATGAAGAATTAAAACAGGTCTTGCACAACTCTTAAAATTGATTAAGCTCTGTAGATGAATCAGCTATACTGGTATAGCTTGGTTTTATTATTCAAAACACTTTGATTTAGCTATTTAATCATACTTTTTTAATGTACATTTTTATCAATATAGATAAAAGTTGCACTATGTTGACATGGATATAAAGTTTAAATTTTCAGCTTTGTGTTTTCTGAAAACAATGTATGAAAAGCAATTTTCTTTCATACATCGTTTTCAGAAAACACAAAGCTGAAAATTTAAACTTTATATCCATGTCAACATAGTGCAACTTTTATCTATATTGATAAAAATGTACATTAAAAAAAGTATGGTTATGATTTATATTATAATTTCATACCATGTTTTATTTTTTACACAAGTTTGTGAAATATTTATACAAGAGGCCCAAACGGGCTGCAAGTTCACCTGATCATTTTATGCTTGATTTAAATGTGTGCTTCGTCCCTGGTTACCAGAATTTGAAGGAGAGCACATTTAGAGGCAAACACCTTAGTGCGGGTTTTACTTAGGGTTGGATACCGTTAAGGATGAAACGGTACGATACCATACCGGTATTTTTGAAACGATATGGTATTTTTAACGATACGGTACTATACCTTGAGGTATGAGAATATTTAAGGGTTCATTTCATAACAAATATGCTTTCAAAAATCATCAACCTTTCAATGTTATAACCTAAAATGAGCTTATAAACTATGTTTATATTTCAACCTTTTAATAAATGACCAACAAAACGAATAAATTGAATCTCAAACAAATTAACTTGAATAGATACATAATCACAAGTATACACAACTTCCGTCTTTGCTAGGACCCATTTTGTTTTGTCGCACTAAACAACGAAACATTAGAAGATGGATAGAAATGCACATCACATTTTTGCGACATTTTGCCTTTTTAATTTACATTTATTATCAGTTTTTATTGATTAAGTTAAAACATGATTAATTCTAATGTATTTAAATTTTTTTAATAAAAGAAATATACGTACTGATTTACCTCGAATATCGGCAGTCGAAAGCAAGTGTCGTATAGTCATACTAAGCATCCATTTCGTTAATTAGCCTACCCTTTCAATGTGCGGAGAATCCTATTTTAGCGAGTTTTAAATCATTTTGAATGTATTAAAATATTTCTAAGATTAAGAAATAGTACTGTTATTAGTACCGGTATTAAATGAAACGGTATTTTACAGGTATTTTTGAAGAAACTATTCGGTACGGTATTGGTACCAAGTACCGGTATCCAACCCTAGTTTTACTGTTATGACAGCATTTAGTTTGTTGTGTATTTCGATCTAAAGTTTAATTAAGTACGATTTTTTTAAAGAATAAAAACTATATATTTAAGGAATAACTGTCTAATTTTTTGGATTCATGATGTGATCAATCGAGTGGCTTGCGTGATAATTTGCATAAACGCCGAAGGCGTTTATGCATAAAATTATCACGCAAGCCAATCGATTGATCATCGTCATGAATCCAAAAAATTAGACAGTTATTCCTTATATTTACATGCTCCTGATTCTGCAAATTCCCATGCTAATAGCCCCGCTTCTGTCTCTATTTGTCCCGCCCCGCACGTGATTTTTTTTAACCGCGCCTATCGATGAACCAGTAGATTTATGTAGAAATAAAGTATTTTTACAATTTGTAATTTTATCTCGGACAAAGACATTGGAAATGTAAGTATTGATTATTAAAATCAAATTAGGCAAGCTGGGAAGCTGACAAAATATCAGAGATATGGGCGACCATGGATCGGTCTGTTGATATTTGACAGGCAGAACATCGCCCTGCAACATCAGCGCGTTACTGATTCAAAAGAAATACATGTTTACTAACCGAGATTTACCTTTAGACCTCTATAAGTTAATAAGAAATTTGGTTTAATTATCTGTTTTTAGTGATCTTTTTACTTTACTTTAAGAGTTTTTTTTAATTAGATCCCAATTTGACATGAAAATTTCACATAGTGAAATATATTTATCCCTTCAACAATAGAAGATAATTATATTGTCTATCCTTCTAGCACCACAGAATCAACCCTGTATTGGAAAGAGTTTAAAAACACTTTTGGAACAAGTGAACCCTATATCTGATGTAATACATCAAGACATGTTTGACCAGTGAGGATCAATATTATAAATATCTTTCCCATTTGTTAATTTATTTTTTCTCCTCGAATTTTTAATTACTATTAAATTACCTACTATTATTACCTGGAAATAATTAAAGTGAACAAGATGTGTTTGTGAAACACTGATGCCCCCGTATGGCAGCTTATGGCGAAGGTTAAAGTTTCTCAAATGCAAGTCAAAATCCAGGCCAAAAGATAAAAAAGTGTTGGTACCCAAAGAAAGGTCTTGTCTCGAGGAATATACCTGTGAAATTTGAAAGACCTAGCTGCAACTGTTCAAAAGTTAGGGCGAAGGTTAAAGTTTTTTAAAAGTAAGTAAAATGTCAAGGTCAAAGTGGTTGGTATCCAAAGGAAGGTCTTGTCACAAGGATTACATATGTGAAGTATGAAAGCCCTAGCACCAACCATTCAAAAGTTGTGGCCAAGGTTAAAGTTTTTTCAAAAGTAGGTCAAACTCCTATGTCAAGGTCAAAGTGGTTGGTATCCAAATGAAGGTGATGTCACAAGGATTACATATGTGAAGTATGAAATCCATAGCATCAACCATTCAAAAGTTATGGCCAAGGTTAAAGTTTTTCAAAAGTAGGTCAAACTCCTAGGTCAAGGTCAAAAGGTCATAGTGGTTGGTATCCAAAAAAAAGGTCTTGTCACAAGGATTACATATGTGAAGTAACAAAGCCCTAGCATCAACCATTCAAAAGTTATGGCCAAGGTTAAAGTTTTTCAAAAGTAGGTCAAACTCCTAGGTCAAGGTCAAAAGGTCATAGTGGTTGGTATCCAAAAAAAAGGTCTTGTCACAAGGATTACATATGTGAAGTAACAAAGCCCTAGCATCAACCATTCAAAAGTTATGGCCAAGGTTAAAGTTTTTCAAAAGTAGGTCAAACTCCTAGGTCAAGGTCAAAGTAGTTGGTATCTAAAGGAAGGTTCTGTCACAAGGATTACATATGTGAAGTAACAAAGCCCTAGCATCAACCATTCAAAAGTTATGGCCAAGGTTAAAGTTACATATGTGAAGTATGAAAGCCCTAGCTCCAACCATTCAAAAGTTATGGCCAAGGTTAAAGTTTTTCAAAAGTACGTCAAACTCCAAGGTCAAGATCAAAAGGTCAAAGTTGTTGGCATCCAAAGGAAGTCCTTGTCACAAAGAATATACATGTGAAGTTTGAAACCCCAAGCACCAACTGTTCAGAGGTTATGGCCAAGGTTAAAGTCTCATAAAATTTTGCAAAAGTGGGTCAAACTCCAAGGTCAAGGTCAAAAGGTCAAATATGATGGTACCCAAAGAAAGGTCTTGTCACAAGGAATACACATATTAAATATGAAAGTCATAGCTCCAACCAATCAAAAATTATGGGCAAGGTTAAAGTTGACAACAGACAAACGGACAAACAGACAGACAGGACAAAACAATATACCCCCGGGATCTTTCGATCCGGGGGCATAATAAAAAATCTTCATGATCCATGCTTAAGTTATTTTCTGGTGTCCAAGCTCTGTCCAGTAGCTGGAAGTGGAAAAACGGCCTGCTGCAGTACCCAACTTTGTAATTCAGGAAATCTACTATCGAGTGGTTCGCCCGGCCGAACAACTCCAATACCTCGTATGTATAGAACAAACATAGAAATATAAATGAGTACTGAAAATTAAACAGTGTAAAACTTACATGTGGGCATATATATTTCATGAATATCACTTTTCAGATGTAAACCATACAGCTCCACATTGTCCTTCACAATGGATAATTAGAAAAATATCAGATAGTGCCCAATTTCTGTACTGTTTCTATCCAAATAAACAGGTTTCATGGGCGACGGCAAAGGTTTGTGCTTAATTATCAAAATTTATGTAAAAATTACATTTCTGTCGATTTTAGGTAACCTGAGTCACTCAGATGACCTGTTGCTATATCTGTTTTTCGTCCGTCGTGAGTTAACATTTGACCATTTTCAGCTTTTTCTTTGGAACCGCTGAACCAATTTTAACTATTTTTCTCATATGGCATCTATGGGAGAAAGGGAATAAAAGTTGTGAATTATATGGTACCCACGTCCTCTGGCCTGAGGGGTGGGGCTAAACCCAACAAAATTAATAGAATCTATGGAAATCTTTTTCACTCCTGGACATCAAGTAGTCAAACTGTTGGAATTAGTGTAATAAGTATCGAGCCCTCTAACAAATTCTACCGAAATCCATTAATTCTTTGAATATCTTCTCTGCTCCTGGGTATTAAGGTCTTATGTCCCTCTCTTCTAAATTTCATCAAAAGGTAAAAATTCCCAACATTGACTTTTATCAATAACTAAAGCATTAGATTCAAATGGAAAAGGGCTTACTTTTTCCAAAAATAATTTTCATGAAGAAAATTTGACACAGTAAATAGGAAGAGCACTAATTTATTATTACAACTTAGAATTCAAATATGAGGTATATATAAAGAAGATATTTAGTGTCACACATTAAATTCATTTCAGAAAACATAATGAAGCGATGCATTTTAAGTAAGAATATCACATTGTTTATTTATGCTTGTTAAAATTATTTGACCACCAGCACGAGTTATCTCTCCTTAATTGTTATCTATTTCTTAAAGAAAAAATACACTAATAATACTCTACAGAGCACACTGTAAATTATACTACTTTAGAAGTTCTTTCAAAGAAATATAAATATTTTAATTTGTAACAGGAAAATAACTGGGTGCAGATGTTTAAGATAGAAACCTACAAAAAATAACTATCAAATATACGATATTTCATAAAAAGTGTTTACATTTTTTAATCTAATTATTTTATTTTTCATACCATTATAAATCTATAACAAACTATATATCATTTTAAACATCAAATCATGCACTTTTGTTCCATGTGAAAAAGTCAAGGAATTCATGGTATTACAATGATTAATTGTGCCATAAACGCCGATATCATAATTTCAATATTTGTCGAAAAGGACTTAACTAATCAACATATTGCTGAATTGTAAAGCCGTTTTTTCAATACATATCGCCAATATTCATTCAGAAACTGATGAAGAAAATATTACAAAAGAATGGATGCTTCTAGAATGCTTATCGGGAGGCTAGTACTGTAACAAGTTTAAAGGATATTTGTAATTGAAATAGTGGAGATCATTGAGAACATGTAATGTGGGCTTTTGACGTTGTGAAATTCAACGTAACAAAAAATGACGTAATTTTGAAATTTCGCTAATTTTTATTAATATTTGAGTTTCATCCAGTGTATACTATTTTATTTGGTAATTGTTCATAATGAATCTAATCGGTAAAAACACTTGTCTGTATCTTTTTCTTGTGTTTGTCAGATTGAAGATTCAAGATGTAACATATTATGAAATGGATAATACAAAGCAATGTTGGAAACATTATACATGTAACTTTCTGCTAAGGGAGTTGATTCCCATGTATAGGAGTATTATAGTGAATCAAGTGAAAGGCTAAAAAAATAACACCTGATGAAACGAATTTTAGGACATGTTTGGATTTTCTATCACCCGAGTCACTTAGGGACGTATTTGTCCGTTGGCGTTCGTCGTTTGTCTTGCGTTAACATTTGAACATTTTCAGCTTCTTCTCTGAAACAGCTGAACCATTTTTAACCAATTTTTGCATATAGCATCTATGGGTGAAGAAAAACTGAACTTCATGATCCCTGACCCAACGGGGGCCTAAGGGGTGGAGGTAAAACCACCAAAATTAATGCAATCTTTAAAATTTCTTCTTTACTCCTGGACATCAACTGATAGCATGATTGTAATAAGCATTGAGCCCTCTACCAAAATTTTGAAATTCAGGGCCGCAGGGTCAGGGGTACTGGTGCGGGGCTATATAGATCATATAGTGAAAGTGCATTATTTCTTCGAAAATCTTCTCTTCTCCAGGGTAGTAAACAAACTAATTAATTACAGTCTTATGATGAGCAAGGGTTTCTCTTCCAAAATTGTGAAATTCATGGCCCCAGGATCAGGGGTTCTTGTGTTAAGGCGAGGCTCTAATGATTATAAAGTGAAAAAGCATTAATTCTTTGAAAATCTGATCCTCGATCGGTATTAAACCTCTAAACTAGGTGCATGCTTAAGATGAGAAGGGTTTCTCTTCCAAAATTGTGAATTTCATGGCCCCTGGGTCAGGGGTTCTGGTGTTAGGGCGGGGCTCTAATGATTAGATAGTGAAAATGAATTAAATCTTTGAAAATCCTCTTCTCTTCTCCTGGGTATTAAGCCGATGAACGAAGTGCATATTTATGATGAGCAAGGGTGCTTCTCCCAAAATTGAATTTCATGGCCCCTGGTTAGGTATTCTGGTGTTAGGGCGGGGCTCTAATGATTATATCCATGGTTATATATAGTAAAATGCATTAATTTTTGCAAGTCTTCTCGGCTCCTGGGTATCTAGCCAATGAACTAAGTGCATGGTGATGATGAGGAAGGGTGCCTCTTCCAAAATTGTGAAAGATATGACCCCAGGGTCAGGGGTTCCGTTGGGATGTCAGTTTTACTCGGACAGCTTAGTCGAATAATCGGAGGCTTTAGTCGAACGATAGACGAGTACTTGTTGAAATTTAAATTAATTTTCATGTCATTTTTCCTATTTGTTTTTAACAGACTGCTATCTAATTGCTAAAATTACATTTGTTAGACCGTATGTTGAATATTTTGCTGGTCAAGTACATTAAATAAAGATATACAGAAGAGTTATACCCCTTTGATATTAGCCTATGGTAATTATACCCCCCGCAAACGAAGTTTGGGTGAGGGGGGTATATAGGAATCACCTTGTCCATCTGTCCGTCCGTCTACCTATCTGTCTGTCTGTGCAAACGTGTCCGGTCAGTATCTTTCTTACAGAGGAACATTAGAATCTACTACTTCACACAAAGATTGTTCATGACCTGAGGGTGTGTCATGACCTTGACCTAAGGTCATTTGGGCAAGTTCATGGTCACTGAAAGAAAAAGTTCATAGTTCGTGTCCGGTCCATATCTTTCTTAAGGATTAACTTGGTGACTTCCCATTTTACACAAAGATTGCTTATAACCTGAGGGTATGTTGTGACCTTGAGCTAAGGTCATATGGGCAGTTCAAGGTCACTGAAAGAAAAAGTTCATAATTTGTGTCCGTTCCATATCTTCTTATGGATAAACTTGGTGAGTTCCCATTTCACACAAAGATTGTTCATGACCTGAGGATGTGTCATGACTTTGACCCAAGGTCATTTGGGCAAGTTCAAGGTCACTGAAAGAAAAAGTTCATAATTCGTGTTCTTATGGATAAACTTAGTGAGTTCCCATTTTACACAAAGATTGCCTATGTCCTGAGGGTGTGTCATGATCTTGAGCCAAGGTCATTTGGGAAAATTCAAGGTCACTGAAAGAAAAAAAAATCATAATTCGTGTCCAGTCCATATCTTTCTTATGGATAAACCTAATGAGTTCCCATTTTACACAAAGATTGCTTATGTTTATGACCTGAGGGTGTGTCATGATCTTGAACCAAGGTCATTTGGGCAAGTTCAAGGTCACTGAAAGAAAAAGTTAATAATTTGATTCCGGTCCATATCTTTTTTATGGATAAACTTGGTGAGTTTCCATTTTACACAAAGATTGCTTTTGGCCTGAGGGTGTGTCATGACCTTGACCCAATGTCATTTTGGCAGTTAAGGTCACTGACAGAAAAAGTTCATAATTCTTGTCCGGTCTGTATCTTTCTTATGGAGAATAATGTTGGGATGTTGGGAGTTTCCACTTCACACAAAGATTGATTATGACCTGAGGGTGTGTCATGATCTTGACCTACAGTCACTGTAGAAAAAATGGATAAATAATGCATCCATACTTCCCAATAGAGAAATACTTGAAAAATTGTTATTTTTTTCGATGTAATAAAAAAATGTTATTATAAGTATTGATGTTTTATTAGGCTGCGCCTTAGTTTCATTCATTAAAAAATAAAATGAGCAATTACCGTTAATTTTCAATCTAAATGTTTAAGCAAATTGTGAAAACCTCTTAGATTCATGAAATACTAGTATTAGTGACTTGGCACCTTCTCTGAAAAACCCTGCTGGAGGTATTCGTCCATTTTGGACAGTTTTAGTTAAGTACTGTAAATAATTAATTTGATATGTCAAATTGAATAAAGAAATTGAAAAAGAATAAGAATTTTAATGTATTGAACAAAAAGTACTTTCGTAGTTTTTAATGGTCATTTTAGTTATATATTTTTGTAATTTTGTATTTTTCAAAGATTTGGCCAATTTGTGAGGGAATGTGAAGGGTTTACTCCATGTTCCACAGCACTATTGTATTGATTAATCTGCATAATGATAGTGACATACATGTATGGGAGTATATTAGTACTGGCAAGTAAATAGATCTACTTTATGATTTTTCACTGACCACTAGACTATTTCGTTGTTCCTTGATCATTCTTTTTCACTTGCTTTGGAGCAAATATCGACAACTCTTACTTTGTATACATGTAGAGAATATTACATACTTAAATTTATATCATAAGTCATAAGCCCGAGTTGCCCATTTGGAGAAATGGTGTGCAGTTTATTCATGAGATTGCTTCCACATGATTCACTTCATTCATTAGATCCTGCATAAACTCGAAACTCCATTTATTCAAATTTTGAAAAGCTGCAACTGACAACTCGTGATGCTGATTTTTAAGATAGGTATGTCAGACTGATGCAAGAAATTGCCGCTTTTAAATTAAATAAGGCGGTCGTAACTCCTCATGAAATGATAAATCATCTGTATTTTTTAAAAATAGACTTTCTCCTGTACCTATTAATCGGCTGAAGAACTCTGTCAACTTGCAACAAATACCTACTTTTCATCATCAAAAATGATAAAAACACAAATTTTGTGCCTTTTCCCTCAATAAATCAATATACCATCGCTTCAAATTTTCAACTCAAAAAGGTAGTCGCGACTTTCATTTCGGTAAGAACACTCTTGTCATTTCTGGTAGAAGTTTTTAAGAATAATCAAACCATCGGCGGAAGATGATCAGTGTATAAAAAATTTGCGAACTTTTGTATTTTCTCTATATAAACCTTTAATGAATCTGTCGCCATTATAGATCCAATATGGCCGATATGTAATTGAGCAGAATGAACACCATTTCTCCATATAGCCATATTGGCTCGAGGGCCGAATGCCCGAGGGCTGATAAGGATATTAGTTTGTAGTATTCTATTTATCATATATTTAAAATATTTAATATGTTAATCTTCTTAAAGTCATTTAAGAATGTTTCGTATCTTTTGACCTTTTCTTTAAAATCTGATAGAGCCAATTTTTGGTCATTTCAAAACTAACCAAGTCAACAAATTTTAGTACATAAATTGTTACAGTATTACATGTACATATCTATTTCAATAAAATTGATTTAGTTAAATTTTAAACGTTATTAAAACGTTACTCCCGGTTTGATATGGATTTGCACGCTGGTCTGATACGTGATATGGGTTTTCAAACCAGTCGTTGATATGAGGTATTGTGACGTCACTCGTATCGCTCAGCGTGGAATCTGTGTATTTACTACTAAGTATATGATAAATATATATTATTATAACAGTAACTTGATCCGAAGAGCCGTATCACGTCAAGTTGACAGGTGCGGATCATCAGATCAAACGAGACGCGAAGCGTCGAGTTTGATCTGATGATCCGCGCCTGTCAACGAGACGTGATACGGCTCTTCGGATCAAGTTACTGTTATAATGATAAATTTATTATATACCCCTCTACAACTAGTAAAATATATAATAAAAGGAAACTTTTTGCATCAATTACATAACTTTTATCCATTAAACAATCCATTTTGTCAAGGAACTTTTTGATGCACGAGAATAAAAACGTCATTTATCTGTGTACTACGTCATCATTTTCAGAGAGGGGTGATATGGATTCAGAAAACCACAGTGTGGTGATCCGGAACGTCGGATCACACCTTCACGTGATTGCATAAATTCAACAGTAAAACTGAGTGACAAACAGTTGGGTATATAATAATATAGGGTTATTGAACTTATATTGGTGAATATTGGCACGAGTTGGCTGTACAAATGCACGAACTTGCGAGTCAAAAGTGCCAATAATAACCAATATTTCGATAACTTCAATAACTCCTTTATTATATAGCTAAAACATCTCCCATTCACTCATATTCATTATTTCAATTAAATAACTCAAATAAATTATTAAGAATTTTCAGTATTGGTATTTAAATTAACGTCTGTCCTGTAAGTGTTCAATATGATAATCGTATCATTCCAATCACCCTACCAAGCGTTACGATTTGCTTTTTGAGGTTTTATTGAGGGTAATACGTACTAAATTATTAATCAATAATTTCAGTTTTGCGTGAAAATAAACACATCTTACCTAGCGAGCACTACCTATGTTAAATTTGCCCACAGGCCTCTGAATTTCTATCAATATGCCGTTATATGATTGATCAGAGTGATATATATCCCTTCTCTTCATATATATATATATATAGAGAGAGAGAGAGAAGGAATATATATATATATATATATATATCACTCTGATCAATCGTATAACGGCTTATTGATTGAAATTCAATAAGCCGTTATATGATTTATCAGAGTGATATATATAGAGAGAGAGAGGGAGGGAATATATATCACTCTGTCAATCTGATCAATCATATAACGGCTTATTGATAGAAATTCAGAGGCCTGTGATTTATTTGTTGCCTCTGAGAGGTTGACCACCCGACATTTTTTTGTTGTTGTTTACAACAGGGCGTTCTATATTGAACGCTCGTATTCGGAATGTTTCGGGCATACTCATATATACGTAATACAAACCAAACTCAGCGTTCAATTAAACGCCAAGATATTGAACGCTAAAATTCTCTAGACTTTAGTAGTTTTTTTTTATTATAGACTATTTATTAGCTATATAATAAATTGTTTTATTTTCTTTACGGTGCTGTATTATACTCGGGTGGCCGTTATTGTATTGTGATTACATTTTGTATTACTTTATGTAAAAGTAAAGACAGTAGTTGGAATTGATAAAAAATTGTAAGGTCTGGTCTTACACTGTACAATATACACTACACACTATAAATTGTAAAGTGTAGTTAAATAGACAGAATAAATATTATATATACACTGTAGTTGTATCATAAATTGAAAGATTTATCAAACATAGATGTTTAGCCAAGTTTTGACAAACGCAACTATCATGTAAAAACAATCTAGTTAAAGTTAGATGTTCCGGATCCGCTACCGCCTCTCAAACATCTAACAACACCCCCTTCATGATCATTGCAGAGCGACCGGCTTTCGATTAGCCAATTAAATCACCGCCGCCGAAATCTTCGTTTGTAGTGAAGCCAAACCTTAAAGCCCGAGGAGAAAACATTAAAAGACAAAACTATGGCAAACGCGGTGCTGTGTACATTTGTATGAATGTGATTTGCTGGATATCTTGTATAGTTTGTGCATTTTTTGTTTGCATTATTCGGGAAAGAATTTCGGATAAGCGAAATCAGTTTATACCACAGTTAACTTAATTTAACCTAAGGCAGTCTACTGAGCATCATAAATATAAAGATGTAGCCGTGGAACTATTTTTTTTAGAATCGTATACAGAAGCTTAAATCTGACTGGCCAAAATTGTCATGTTTATTAATATAACTGAAAGGTGGCGTTGATGTGACCCTGTATGGTATGTGTTAGATGTTTGAGAAGGGCAGCGGATTCGGAACATCAAGTGCTGCAAAGCAAGCATATTGTTAATATAAGTGCCAAAATAATGTGTCTACAGCACCGTTGTTATCGTCATCTATCAGCGTCTCTTATCTATAGAGTAGATCAAATTGGAGCTTGCAAAGGTAAAGAAATTCAATGTTTTTGACGATTTTTAAAAATCTTTGGTCTACATGCAGCAACTCTATCAAATCTTGAGTCTTATCACCATGATCACTTGTTCATGTTGTATACGCACGCGTACAATAAGGTGGAAGGAGTGAAGCTATCTTTTTGTCTTGGGCCTGACTATATTTTTTTCCCCAATATATTTTATGGGGTCTGAAACCTGCAATTACATGAAGTCTAATACTTGAACTTGAAAGAATTGAACAAAACATGAGCCATGCAAAAAGGAGATGGGCGAACAAGACGTGCTAAATGCCTTTATCTTTATCTTTATATATATATATATATATATATATATATATATATATATATATATATATATATATATATATATATATATATATACATATTCAATTTGTGAACTTAATATTTAGAGTAAAGTTGTTTTCATTGAAAATTATGAAATTATGACAAACAGAACTTTTCTGAAAATTCTTCGGGCAAAATCATTCTGTGATTTTAAAAATATGTGGTATTCTTGGGGTTCGAACCAAAGCAATAGAAATCATGAGTAGCAATTTTCTTTTCGAGACAAACACACTAACCACTACGCTATACTGATCGTAACACACTGAGGCTATAAAATTATGTTTGTGATATGACCCTTCACTATATAGACTTCAAATACTTCTCGGAAAGATACACGTTGTGTCATAAAAGTGTCATAAAAGTGCATTTTTAAGGCATAGTGGGTCTTTGCTCCATGTTTTTGTAAACCGAAGACTATATACATGTATCTTTACGCATAGTTTGAGAACAGTCTTTCACAAAAATTGAGCGAAGACCCACTTATATGGAAAAATTGTGTTTATGTATGAAGAATTGACCATTTTTGACCTCTTAGGTGTCATATGATATTTCATACACGAATAATTTCAAGTGTTCTGAGATTTCCATAAAATATGTTAATATTAAATGAAATATCAAAGAAAATATTGTCATAACTGGGATTTTTTTTTATGAAATATCAAAGAAAATATTGTCATAATTGGGATTTATTTATTTATTTATTTTAACGCACAATAAGCATTTTCTTCTCCTTGTTCACCCATCTTCTTTTATTTTTTCCCCTCATTTTTTCCCGTGTTTGCGTCTCTTCAACATTACATGTACACAGACAAATCCTAGTTTTACTACGATCTGTGGTAGATGTTAACTTTCTCTATATACTATACAAACTTAAAGTCATTGAAAATCATTTACTAGTATGTAGCATCGGTTCCTCTAAATAAATCAAATTGCCTTTGGTCAAAATCAATTCGAATGTATTTGTGTGCTTTTTTTCTTGAAGGGGAAATGGAGCAGGGATTATAAAGACGACTTATTAATAAATGTTTTAAAATGTTAATCCCCTCCCCCCCCCCCCAAAAAAAAGAATACGTCTAATCATGCGGTTGAAATATGTTCTTTAACAGCTGATATGTAATCATCACAACACTCATCTACCTATCATAGAAACAGACCAAGAAAAAGCTATCATCGACGGAATCACATCTCATGCTGAGAGTAAGTTGAACAAGTATTTGCTTTCCTAAAAAGCTCATGTTTTATGAAGTGAACAAATTAATCTTTATGCTTAAATCCGCGTTATCAACATAAATCTGAGTCCAGAATTCCTTTCCTAAGAATGAAGAAAATTTAAATCCAGTGTCATCAACAGAAAATTAGACTCGCAGAATTGATTTTTTTTTCTATATTTTTAGGTCACCTGAGTCACTCAGGTGACCTATTGCTATCCGTTCTCGTCCGTCGGCGTGCGTCGTGTGTTAATATTTGAACATTTTTAGCTTCTTCTCTGAAACCGCTTAACCAATTTCAACCAAATTTGGCATATAGCATCTATGGGTGAAGGGGAACAAAAATTGTGAATTTCATGGTCCCTGCAACCCTGGGGCCTGAGGGGTGGGGCTAAAACCACCAAAATTAATGCAATCTTTAAAAAAAACTCTTCTTTACTCCTGGACATCAAGCAGTCAAACTGTTGGCATCATTGTAATAAGCATTGAGCTCTCTACCAAATTGTGAAATTCATGGCCCAAGGGTCAGGGGTTCTGGCCCCAGGGTGGGGCTATATAGATCATATAGTGAAATTGCATTATTTCTTTGAAAATCTTCTTCTCTGCTCCTGGGTATCAAATAAACAAATTAAGTACATAGTTATGAAGGGCAAGAGTGCCTCTTCCAAAATTGTGAAATTCATGGCCCCAGGGTCAGGGGTTCTGGTGTTAGGGTGGGGCTCTATTGATTATATAGTGAAAATACATTAATTCTTTGAAAATCTTCCTTTCTGCTCCTGGGTATTAAATAAACTAACTAAGAACATAGATATGATGAGCATGGCTGCCTTTTCAGAAATTGTGAATTTCATGGCCCCAGGGTCAGGGGTTCAGGTGTTAGAGTGGGGCTCTATTGATTTTTTGCATTAATTCTTTGAAAATCTTCTTCTCTGTTCCTGGGTATTAAATAAACTAACCAAGTATATAGTTATGATGAGCATGGTTGCCTCTTCCAAAATTGTGAATTTCATGGCCCCTGGGTCGGGGTGTTGGTGTCAGGGTGGGGCTCAATTGATATATATAGTGAAAATGCATTATTTCTTTGAAAATCTTCTCTCTCCTGGATATTAAATAAACTAAGTACATAGTTATGATGAGCATGGCTGCCTCCTCAGAAATTGTGAATTTCGTGGCCCCTGGGTGAAGGGTTCTGCTGTTAGGGCGGGGCTCTATTGATTATATAGGGAAAATGCATAAATTCTTTCAAAATCTTCTTCTCTGCTCCTGGGTATTATTCAAATAAAGAAAGTGCATGGTTATGATAAGGAAGAATGCCTCTTTCAAAATTGTGAAAATCATGGGCCCTGGGTTAGGGTTCTGGTGAAGGGGGGGGGGGGCTCTATTGATTTTATAGTGAAAATGCATAATTTTTTTCAAAATATTTTTTCTACTACTGGTAATAAAGCAAAGTTCTTCTTCCTGAATTGCGAGTTCATGGCTCCTGGGTAAGATGTTCTGGTGTAAGGGGGGGGGGGGGGAGGCTTTATTTATTTAATTATATAGTGAACATGCATTTCTTTGAAAATCTTCTATGCTTCTGGGCATATTCGAGGCAAACAGAGTAAAAGTTTTAGTATGCAAGGGTATTTTTATCAGAGACCAATGTGAGAAGTAGTATTTTGGGATTAAAATAGACATTTTGTTAATAGTCTGCATGGTAATAGTGTTAAATGGGGGACGATAGATGCTATACCAATTATTCTGTTGATGCTTATCATACTATTTTTCTTGCTTTTGGGCAACATTTAAAGCTTCATTTATCAGTTTATGGATCCTCTAAATTGTTGTATTGTACTCTGGTGACCGTTAAGGCCATTGGGCCTCTTGTTGAAAATAGAATAGGATATTCATTTTATCAGGTCCGTATCAACAGGGAGGGGACACAAGAGTAGGGCGTGTGCCCCCAATAATTTTGATGATACATGTATATAGTATACTGTCGGGAAAAGCTATTTTATGAATATGCCTCCTCAATAATTACGTCTGGTGACCTTTTTTTCTTTTTCTTTTGATTGGAATTTTTTGTTTGATAGTGCACCACCCTTAACTGAAAATATTTAGTTGTGCCACCCCAATCCCCCAACTAAAACTGCTTTCTTCGGGCCTTTATATGCAGCATTTTTTAACCATAGATATAGCCGGTGCTTTCAGGCAATAAAAACTTTACAACACATAAAGACCTAAACAACAATTTTTAAAAAATCAATTTTGAATCATTATCACTTATTTGAAAAATAAATTTGTTACAAATGAGCTAACATCTTTGCACTTTACAAAAGGATGTTCATCTACATTTCACTTCTATATTTCTTTTGCTATGAATTAAAAATTAAACTGATTACTTCATGTATACGTAGACTTAATTTCTGAAAGCAGAGAGGTTTATTATGCATTGAAAATAAACATCCATTAATTATTCTAATGAGAATATTCTACGTGTGTTAACCTTTCTACTTTAGTCCTACTCTTAATTTCGCGGGACATGAATGATGTATGCATTCGCGAATGGCTAAATATACGTAACATGTAAAGTATAATGTGATGATATCAAGATTAATTTTGTTTTAACGCCCAGTGCTCTGGTTTTCGGTTGGGTGTTAAGCATTATTATTCCATCAATCCTCATGCTCTCCAATATTATAATTAAGATAGGAAAAAGTTACCAAGGTCGAGTTACCACACGACATGTTTAACAAGCCTTGACTATATCTAACAAATACTGTCTAACGTCAGAAATATTAATCTAGTAGTCGGTCATCAACAAACGAAATTACTTTGTTAAAATCACTCTTATTCTATACAAAAGTAGTCTGAAGTTGACATTAAAAGGATGTTGGAGTTCCTCATTGACAACATTTATATATGTAGGCTTCGGAGACCAGGCCCCAGGATCATGAAACAGACTTAGATATAAGACAAATTTTCAATCGCCTGCAAAATGTCTATTAATTATTGAATTAAACTCTAAATTTGCAGTTAAAAACACTTTTGTGAAGCAATATTAAAAAATATTTAAATTTTGGTCTGCATGACTTCTACAACATTTTATTACAACACAAAGATTTTGACTTAAGCTTAAGACGTTTCGTGATCCTGGGGCCAGCTCTTCCAACAAACTGTTGGAATTCCGATGGACACTAAGGACCTTTAATAGCCAACATGTTTTTACATTCCAATGATGCCGAATTTATTCAAAAACTTCCACATGAGAAGAAGAAAACACTTGTGGCCTTAACTCGACATTCAGATATATCGACGACGTTTTATTAATTAACCATAGTTACTTCCATTCATATGTCGACTCGATATATCCCAGTGAACTTGAAATAAAAGACACCACAGTCTGCCATCTGTCTCATAATTGCCTAATTTGGATGTTTTACTGACTATAGACGATTAGGACCAACTACGAACTAAATTGTATGATGATAAACGAGATGAATCTAGCTTTTCAGCCTTCAAGTTTCCTTATTTATGTAGTAATATTCCGCTATCATCTGCATATGGTGTTTATGTCTTCCAACTTTTTCGATATTCAAAAGCATGCTCTGAGTACGATCAATGTTTAAACTGAGACAGGCTACTGACAGATAAGTTGAAATTACAGAGATTTCAACAACCTCGTTTAAACAAATATAACCCATCATTGGGTCGTATTTTGGCTGACTTGTTTCATATCGATTGTTGGACATTTGTTTTATACTAACTTTGACTACGGAATGTTCCTCGACCCGATCAAACATAGGGCTAATGGCGGGTGTGACCGGTCAACAGGGGATCTTGTATTGATTGTAGATATTATGCGATCGATCACCATTCGTTATCTTCACCTTATTCATTTTAATTTGCCTATTTGGTCGAGCGATATAGCACACTGTTTTTGTACTACTAGGAGAGAGATTCTGCAGAGTTCAGTCCTGAGATCGGGCATTTTCGCTAGCCAAAGGTTTTTGTTCCGAACCTCTAAAATACAATAAAAACAATAAGCCTTACAAACAAAGGCAATTTAATGTTGTTACCCGCTTTGTCAGCTGGGACCAGTACATATTGATCGTGTAATCAATCTAATTCTTTTTTTTATTTCCGAAAATAGTATGGCTGGATGCGACAGATAAAGATAGAGAAGGTGTCTACATTTGGAGCACATCAAACGAGACAGTGTTAAAATATTACTGGGCTGATAATGAGCCGGACGATCAGAGATATCCTGAGGACGAAGACTGCTTGGAAATGGGCCCAAATTATCTAATGGGCTGGAACGATGCTCCTTGTGATAGGCTTGTAGGAGTTTTGTGTGAATACGGGTAAAACTTTGCAATGCAAATAACTAATGCTTTTGAATTCTTAAGGTTGCATATGGTGACATGGTGTTTGATTTCATCTATCAGAAACCAATTTAATTACCTCTTTGTTTTTAACTTCAGCGTAACGAAGCATGTCCAACAGCCATCAATAGGTAAAGTAATATGTTGACGGTGCGATCGTTGGGGCGAGCGCAGTTGTGTAATACTGGATATTCACTTCCGCCCGTAGGTCCGCCTCTCCAAAACGCACGAGACTTTTGGAAGTCTAGACTACGACGTCTTATGTTAGCTGCATATCCATAACAAAGTCTGAAAAGCGAAATTTTTTAATAAAGAACGTTTAATCTACTAGGGTCAGGGGTTATGGAGTTAGGTGGGGCTCTTATGATCATATAGTGTAAATTGTAAAAATGTGGCCCCAGGGTCAGAAGTTTGAGGGGGCTCTATTGATTATATAGTGAAAGTGCATTATTTCATTGAAAATATTCTCTGCTCTTGTGTATTAATCAAACAAACCAAGTATATAGTTATAATGAACAAGGGTGCCTCTTCCAAAATTGTAAATTTCATGGCCACTGGGCCAGGGGTTCTGGTGTTAGGGCGGGCCTCTATTGATTGAAGTTGAAGTGAATTTTCTTCTTCTCTGCTCTTGTGTAAATAGCAGAAAAACTAAATGCATGGTTATGATAAGCAAGGACTCCTCTTCCAAAATCGTGAAATTTGTGGCCAAGGGTCAGGGGATGTGGTCTGTTGAATATATAGTAAAATGCATTTTTTAAAATATCTTCTCTGCTCTTAAGCATCTAGGAGACAAAAACAGAGTATATAAAGCTGTAATATTTTAACCAGATGAAATGAGAGGGAATGAGATGGGTTAACTAATAGCTCAAGAACTACTGTTGTTTTGTTTAGTCTGCATGGGGATGGTGACAAATGGGAGCAAGTACAGGCAAGAAAAAAGATTCACTTTAAGATTTGTTTCTGAGGATTAAATTAATTAATTTGCTGATCTCTGATCATCCTATTTCTCTTGTTTTTGGGCAACATAGATTCATTTATCAGCTTCCTTTACAGTGTTACATTATACTCTGGTGACCGTTAAGCCCTTGGGCCTCTTGTTCCAGTTAAGTTTTGAAATCTTTAAAAATGATTTGTAGTACAGCTTGATCGCTAGCATTTCTCAGATGTCCAGTACATAATTCTTCTTCAATTAGGCCCTTGAAAACTGACAGGTTATGATCACCTTCCCTGTGCAGGTTTTGGAAGCTGTTAGTATAGGTTTGATGCATGGGCTAATGTCTAATCGCTGGCTATCTGAAAACCTTCTCCCATTGTAAATAGTAGTTTCCAAGAAACTGACACTGGTGTGAGATTGATTGATTGTTGTTTATGTCCCATTTGAGAATGTTTCCCTCCTATAGGAACATCACCATATACCGTTGAAGGGCTTCAAATTAAGACCTTTACTCGGCACTCAGGGTTATTGAGCAGTGAGGTATCTTTATCGTGCCAACGCCGGCCTCGGTTTTTAAGGTCTCATCCGAAGGACTGGCAACTTTCACTTCAAACTATCGAGCGTATGGCGAAGGGATAGTTGCTACCTACGTAAATCTAAAGTATCTGTGCCAAGAGTTCCCTATTTCAAGAGTTTTCCTTAATTTCATCCGGACTTCCATTAAATAGAACAAGAAAACATTGTCGCCCTGGAAATAAATGAAGTAAAATATGATTAAGTCCGGACACGACAACGTCCAACTTTCTGAAAGACATAATTTAAAAGTTTTCCTGGGTTTTGATGGGATTTTTGTCAAAGTTTAAAACTGGATTTTAGTTTTAAAAAAAAAAGGACATCAATCAACCAAGAATAATGGGTATATTTTCTTATGAGAGTAATCTCTCTTGTAAAATACAACTGATCTATCTATCTTAACAACAATTCTATCAAACTTTAAGACACATATCCAACTATACTCCTTGAGATGAGGGGAAAAAAATAAAGTACATGCATTCTTGAAAAGTAAACGGCGTCAACCAAATATTATGATTACTTAATACCACCCACATATTAAGAGTTATAAAAAATGATTCTCAAACACTAGAACATTTTGCAAAAACACACAATATTCAGGCCCTTAGGAAGCAATTTCAGTCCGGAGGGGGGGTTACAACCATACACTTTCAGCTGAGGGGGGCACTACCAACTACCAAAATTCCCTTGACATGCAAAAAAAAAAAGGTCATCACACGTTATTATTGAGGGGGCACAAGCATATAGTAGCCATGGTTTCTATAGTATTCTTTATATCGGCAAAATTATTTAGGACCCCCCCCCCCCCCCCGGTTCTTACGGCCATGAATATTTGCAAAGAGATATTTATCGATGAACCAATAATCGCCTACAGTAAACACTGAAGCATAGGCGTTGATCATGATAATGATAATTGAGGCACGCTTATAATTTAACTGAAGACATAAATAAAGTGGACCAATGATGATGGCGAGCCTTAAGAGCAAAAAATAACATTTCTCTTTAAATACCACCGAAATACTCTGTGCTGCAAAAATAACTTCAGTCTTTATTAAATAAGTCAGAAGTGGTACAAAATGTCCGGTCCTAGTATATTTACAACAGGTTTGGTTGACTGATGCCCATAGTTTGAACTTGTAAAGTTAAATGTTTACTTTAAATTACTTTAAAATGCATTGAGTATTTTGTATTTTACGTTTTTGATATATTTTTCCTATTTGGTCTTTATTTACTAGCTTGTCCAACTGGATGGAGATCAGCATTTAATCTGGAGTACTGCATTGTGAGAAAATCCTTAAATTGGTATCAGTCTAAGGTAGGAGATGAAGCTGTTATATAAAATAAAAGAAAGAAGGTGTTGCAATCAATTCTCAGTTTCTTGATTGATATAACATTATGTGGTCTATGGCTGTTTAAACCATAAAAAGTTGTTTTAGTTGGTATAGATATTCCTCTTTAAAAATACCCCATCCATTTTTTATCTCTAAATACATGTACTTATTTGTCAAAATTGTCAATAATTCATATTCTATAGGAGTGTTCGAATATACTCAATTATATAAATTATAAACAATCCTGTTTTATTTTATAAATGCATCAACCTCAGCTATGAAGCGTTAGCTTCGGTATTTAGGAGGAAGATTTCATGCAGAGTTTAAGTGTATGTGATATTACATATCAAGATTATTTTCGTCATTTTCAGTAGCTGAGAGGACGTCATGTGATATTCGTCAAAATATGTACAAATCTCGCGGGAATTCTGGGACAATCGTAACCAATACGTTGAATGTCGATGAAAAAATGCCTAACAAACAATCTTTGTTTGTAAGGCTCATTATTTGAATTGTATTTTAGAGGAATTAGGATTGAATTCTACAGGTGGAAATCCAACTTACACCCATACCTCCCTTTCTAAGGAGCAAATTCTTCAAAATCATGTGTTCATTTTAGATATTTTAAATATTCCGAACAATCAAAATGAATTTGAATTACATGTACCATACCTTTACTGGATTCCTAAACTTCATAAAATTCCTTACAAACAAAGATACATAGCGGGTTCCAGTAAATGTTCTACCAAGCCTCTTTCTTTACTCCTCACTAAAATATTTACTGTAATGAAGGAGAAACTTCAGGAGTACTGTACAACAGTATATTTGAGAAGTGGTGTAAATCAGATGTGGATACTTAAAAACTCCAAAGAACTTTTGGAAAATTGAAATCACAAAATTTTACTAAAATCAACAACATCAAACCGTACGACTTTTTAACACTATCGACAGCTGCTTTTTCAATACAAATTGAACTCGTAAATATACTTACCTTGTCATTGGTCATTTACAAAATTATTTTGTTAACAAGCACTCTGATTGTACACACAAGTTCTCTGAAGTTGATATTAAAAAGATGCTTGAATTTCTGATTGACAATATCTATGTAGTTTTTGGAGATAAGGTCTTCAAACAATCTATTGGAATTCCCATGAGTGCCAATTGCGTCCCCCTTATTAGCAGACCTATTTTTGTATTCATATTCATATGAAGCAGAATTTATTCAAAAACTTCTACATGAGAAAAAGAAGACACTTGCTGTAGCCTTCAACTCGACATTTTGATATATCGACGACGTATTATCTTGTTTTTTAATGCTTTATTTTGAAGCCTTTTTTCCTTATTTCTTAAACGAGGCAAGTTATTGACAAACAAGTTGATGAAACAAGGATATCAACAGTCTCGTTTGAAGTCATCTTACGGTCGACGCAATGACCTTGTCAGCACATACAACCTTTCATTGAGTCAAATGCTGACTGACGTTTTTCATACTAATTGTTAGGCCATTATTATACACTGAACTGTCTACGGATTTCTCCTTATTACCCGATCATGACAAGGCGCACAAGGCGGATGTGACCGGTCGGCAGGGGATGCTTACTCCTCCATGGCACCTGATCCCACCTCTAAATTTTGAGGTCCGTGTTTGCTCTGCTTCAAATTTGTATCGTAATTTGTATCGTTTCATTGGACTTTCGAGATTGAATACTGTTCGTTATGTAAAATATTTCATACAAACACATACCAAACAATTTACACCCACTCACCACCACACTAACACATACTTGGACAGTGCACTTTCTAAAATAAAATAATGTACACAAATGTAGACATATGAAAGTTAATCATGCAATTTATCCAAAAAACCAGAAGTCTCTGTCGAGACTGTTGCTCTACTGGTTTGTACTTAAAACAATTAAGGAAGAGAAAAGTAGCACTTGGACTTGAAACTTTGCAACAGCAATAAATAAATAGTAATCCTCGTTTTACTCTCTTTTTGTGGCAAGATGAATTGCAATCAGACTAAAACTGTAGAAGGAGTAGCCATTTTAAAGAAATTTCGATTTTAGTTACCATGGCAACATTATTCATCAAAATCAAAAAAACAATTAAAACAATTATGTATCTCAGTGTAGTCTACTTGCATGCCATGTTATATTAAAATCAGACCAAACTGTAGGCAAAGTAATGTTTTGAAAGTACATCAAAGAAATTCAATTTTTTTGTATCCATGGCAACACTTCACCTAAATCAAAAAAATTGATGTACAGAATTATGTATCTCAGTGTAATCTACTTGTGTGCAAAGTTATATTGAAATCAGACCAAAACTGTAGGAAGAGTAGCATTTTGAATGTATTTCACAGAAATTTCTATTTTTAGACACCATGGCAACACCGTTCACCGAAATCAAAAACCGATATACAGAATTATGTATATTAGTGTAGTCTACTTTTGTGCAAAGTTATATTGAAATCAGATCAAAACTGTAGGAGAAGTAGCATTTTGAATGTACTTCACAGAAATTTCTATTTTAGTAACCATGGCAACACCGTTCACCAAAATCAAAAACCGATACAGAGAATTATGTATCTTAGTGTAATCTACTTGTGTACCAAGTTATATTGAAATCAGATCAAAACTGTAGGAAGAGTAGCATTTTGAAAGTATTTCACAGAAATTACTATTTTTAGTAAGCATGGCAACACCGTTCACCGAAATCAAAAACCGATATACAGAATTATGTATCTTAGTGTAGTCTACTTGTGTACCAAGTTATATTGAAATCAGACCAAAACTGTAGGAGGAGTAGCATTTTGAATGTATTTCACATAAATTTCTATTTTTAGTTACAATGGCAACACCGTTCATTGAAATCAAAAACCAAAACACAGAATTATGTATCTTAGTGTAGTCTACTTGTGTTCAGACCAAAACTGTAGGAGGAGTAGCATTTTAAGAAATTGTTTACAAACAGACAGACAGACGGACGGACGACGGACACCTAACTATTGCATAAGCTCTTCTGGTCTCTGACCAGTAGAGCTAACCAAAAAAAGGATATATCAAAAGGTGAAGATATATATATATTTAAAAAAAAATACAATTCTGATTTTTCATCACTTGTTGTACACATTATCATACAGGGCCCATTTACTAATTATTTTGTCTTTAAATTTAAATATTTTTTCACAATAATTTTCTATGTTTCTGTGATATCTAAATACCTTACTGCATCAATAAATATTGGCTTAAAACCTTGTGATCGTGAATAATAAATAATTTTTTTTTTTGCGACTAACTGAAGAAAATTTTCTAAACAACTTCTAACAATTCTTTTGGATATTTTATAATCATTTTACAAATGTACAAATTCATTCCAAAACTCAGTCACATATACACAACCATAAAATAAGTGAATTATTGTCTCTGTTTCACTATTACAGAATGTACATAAACTATTTTCTGACAGCTTAACTTTATGAAGAAAGGAGTTAGTAACAATCTAATTCATCAGTACTCGATACTGAAAATAAATTATTTTTGTCTCTTTTGTGCATAATGATGCATTTACAAAATAAAATTTCCAGTCTCTTTTTTTTTTTTTTTTTTTTTTTTTTTTTTTTTTTTTTGAGATTGACTCATCTAGTAGTTTCCCACTTTGTTTTGGAAGTTGGGGCTTTAAACTTTTCTTTCATGATATGATACAAAACTTTAACATTATATGCTGATAACAAGTTTTGTACAAGACATATTTCTGGTTCAGTATTTTCAGGAATTCTACTTTCTTTATAAGGAATGCGTTTTCTTTTAATTTTTTAGGGTATTTTTGAAATCAGATGAAAATAGTTTAAAAGATTATTAGTACCAAGTACATCTTTTATTTCATGTACATATTTTATTTTCCGACACTCGGTCGTTCAGGTTCTTGACGCCTTTTTTCAACCCATTTTGTATACAATTCCCACTTCTCGACATCCACAAAATTTCTACTATCTAAGTACAAATAATTTAATACATGTTCAGGACTTCTCTTAACCTTTATCAATTCTTTAAATACATCTTTCCAAAAATTATTATCAATGATTTTAACAAATTCTTGAAGTTTCCCTTTAGATATATAAAAAATGAAATCAACACTAAGTTTGAAAATACAATGTAGCAAATGTTGCCATGCACCGTCAGTTTTAGTCAGATACCTCTTTACCGATTTTAACTTGATATATAAATGAATGATGATAAATGTAGCATATTGAAACCATCATCCTCAGATCTCCTGATAAGTGTATTTCTTTAACGTTTTCTGTCTTGTTTCCCCAACTGAATTTGAAAAGAGAAGATTCACTTCCATCCAGTAGTAAAAATGAATCATCTACATATTGCCCTAATTTTTCTTTCCCCTCGATAATAATACCTTTAATATTAACATTTTTCTTGAGTGAAATCGCAAGTAATTCAACTGTGATGATAAACAGATATGGAGCTAAAGGATCTCCTTGTCTGCAATCCCTCTGAAGACTAAAAAAATCTGATAAATGTGTATCACTGATAATATCATTCAGAACCTTTTTGATACGGTTTGATATGGCACTTAAACCAATCTTATAGTCAACATTTAGTAATGAGATAGGTCGCCAGTTTTTCATATATCGCCTATCTTTATTCTCTTTTGAAATACAAGTTATTATACACTGAGATTAGAATGAAGACATTTTCCCTGTATGATATCCTTCATTTAAAGATCGAATAACAAACACTCCTAAATCCCTCCAAAAATATTATAAAATTTTACAGTGAAGCCATCTCAGAACCTGATGATTTTTAATTTTTTCATTTTCTTCAATACTTCAGTACACTCTGCAAGCTTTAAGATTCCTTCACAATTCTCCTTTTGCAAATCTGATAACCTATCATCATGACTTAGGAAAGCACTTTCATTTAGTAATGTTTGACTATAGTCCTGTTTTTTATTTTTGTATAAATTT